CCCCCCCCCCAGTAGATCAGTGACAAGGAGGGGATAAAAATGAGTAAAGGAAAATTGTTATAGAAGGAAAAAAACATACTTAAGAGACATAACAAGCTCATTATGGAGACCTTGTTTAGATCCTGATTGGAATAAATCCACTGTAGTAACTTTAACACAATTGGGAAGTTTTGAATATGAACTGGGTGCCTGGGTATTAGATGGTATTAAAGGATTATTGTTAATTTTATGAATTATAATAATAGTGTTTATGTAAAAATAAATCCTTATCAGTTAGTGTTACAAAAGTTTTTACAAGTGAAATGATGTTTTAGGATTTGTTATTAAATATTCCAAAAGAAATATAGGGAATGGGGCTTAGATGGAACAAAATTGGCAAAATAATTGATTATTTTTGAAATAGGGTGATAGGTACCTATGGGTAGTTAAACTGTTCTACTTTTTATATGTGTTCGAAAATATTTAAAATAAGTGAAAAAAAATTGATGCTGCTTGGGAAAATTGTCCTTCCTTTTACAGTAACACTACTAGTTAGAAATGGTGAGTAAGTCAGGCTCTCTTCCTAGCTTCTCATACCTTATAACTTATGTCTTCTTTTGTTATTACCTATTCTGTCATTTCTGGAAACGACTTGGCAGAACAACCAGGAGATATTTCAGCAGAGCAAGAAGTTACATGTATTGGTGCAAGAGAGACACTCTCCACGCAGGTAATAAGAACATTTTTTTAAATAAAAGGTTTGGATTTTCATTTTAAAAGGAGGCTGCAGGCTAAAATGAAAAACTTGCAGACTTGCTTGTCTGGTGTGGCCCAGCCGTTGAGCATCGACCTATGATTCAGGAAATTGGGGTTCGATTCCCCAATCAGGGCACATGTCTGGGTTTCGTACTCGATCCCCACTAGGGGGCATGCAGGATGCAGCCAATCAGTGACTCTCTCGTCATTGATGTTTCTGTCTCTCTCTCCCTCTTCCTCCTCTCTTTGAAATCAATAAAGACATGTTTTTATTTTATTTATTTATTTATTTATTTATTTATTTTAATATATCTTTATTGATTTCAGAGAGAGGAAGGGAGAGGGAGAGAGATAGAAACATCAATGATGAGAGAGTCATTGATCGGCTGCAGCCCACAATCCGGGCATGTGCCCTGACCGGGAATCGAACCCCGATCGCCTGGATCCTAGGTCGATGCTCAACCGCTGAGCCATGCCTGGCTGGGCAAGACATATTTTTAAAAAACAACAAAAAACTTTCAGGCTTTATAGGTAGGAGGTCTAGGAGTAGATCTTATCTAAGTCATTTGTGTGACTCCTCTCTCTTAGATTTAAAACTTGGTGGGTGGGGGATGAAGATGTAAGGATAACTTGTCCTGCCTAACTAACATGGTTAAGTATCGATTAAAATAGTAGATAGGGATGTAGTTTATGAACTATCTGGCAGAATGTGATTGCTATGTGATGAACAATTTTTAACTTAAAAACACAAATTGTTGTTCTTAATATAAGTTATTTACATTAACTGTGGACTCTGCCAATCCCAAAGCCTCATTGATCTACTTTTTGCGTGTTTTTATATGGTCTCCCTGTTTTTATTTCTTCTCTCTAGAAAAATTTTATGTACACGTGAATTATGTTTATAAATGTTCTATTTTTAAAGTAACACAAATGGGATTATATTATATTTTGTTTTTATTTCTTTTCCCCCTGATTTATTACATTTTGGAGAGCTTTCTATTATCAGTACATAAAGCTAAATTTTATTAATAGCTTAATAATAGTGTTTCAGTTAACTCTTCCTTTGTCAAATACACTATGGTCATTCCTCTTTCTCTCTCCCTTCCTTCCTTTATTCCCTCCCTCCCCTCCATTTTAGAGAGAGGTCAAGTGGGAGGGTGGATGACAACATCAATGTAGGTGCCCTGACCATGAATTTTGAACCCACAACCGTTCAGTATATGGGATGACACTCCAACCAGCTGAGCCACACCAGCCAGGGCTCTTTCTAATACAAACCATGCTGCACTGAGCATCCTTGTAGAAATGTGTTGGCAAATTTTGTGTCTTTGTTCATGGTGTATATTCCTAGCAGAGAGGTTGCTATGACAGGAAAGATACATATTTTAGTTTCAATAGATAATGCCAAATTGCCCTCTGGAAAATTTTTGCCAGTTTCTACTTGCAGCAACAATATGTAAGCATGCCCATTTCTCCCTCTCCCTCAACAGTGCTTAGTATCATCAGACATTAATTTATACCATCTAATGGATGAAGAAAATGGTGTCTTTAATTTGCATTTCTTTAATTATAAGTGAACAATTATTGACTATTTGTAATTTTTTGTAAGCTTTTTATATTCTTTCTTTGTTTTTCTGGTATTTTTTTTTAAATTCACATGAACCACGTTTTTTATAGCTACTGAGTTGATTATGAAACCTAATTTTGGATGAATAACCTATTGTTTCCTGTTGGTTATCTGGGTAACTGCTACTTTGTTTATATACATATTTTTGTAAAGATATATATCTATCTTTGTAAAAATAGCTCTTTTCCTTCTTTTAAATGAAAAACAAATCCAAGAGTTTCATCAGATCAAAGAGTACTAATATTTTTGTGGCTTGTATTAGATTTGACTAGATTGCATTCTATAAAGAATGATGAGTGATTCGTAGGTAGTGTAGTTTTTCTGCAGTGTTTTCAGTTGGGTTTATATCATTTTTGTGTGGTTTTGTTAATTCAATAGTTGCATGACCTCTTCAAGACTGATTTTGCATTTTCTCCAATTTGAATGTGTTCTGGTTTTCATCCAGCAGTCTCCCAAGAAGTCCAGCTCTCTTCTACCTTTAGCTTCTACAGATGAGGAGGAAGAAGGGGATACTTGTACGATATGTTTAGAACAGTGGACCAATGCTGGGGATCACCGGCTTTCTGCTTTACGATGTGGACACCTCTTTGGGTTTAGGTGCATTTCTAAGTGGCTCAAAGGACCGACACGAAAATGTCCCCAGGTAAGGACTGTAGATAGGGACTGCATGTGCACAGTCATGTTAAGTCAGGAGGATTCCTAGGACCCTGCTAATTGTGTTCTATTGGGCTCTTTAGTGCAACAAGAAAGCCAAGCACAGTGACATTGTCGTCCTTTATGCCCGGACCCTGAGAGCTTTGGACACTAGTGAACATGAGCGCATGAAAAGGTAGGTAGAAAGAGTCTGCCTAGCTGGAATATTCCCTTTTGGGTCCTTATAGGCACATATGATAAAGGATGTGTGAGTCACTCTTAGTGTGGTTCTGAGGCTTTACTTGGGTTGTGACTGGTGATCTCTAGGGATTGCTGGCAGTCTGTCTCATATTGTGATTTATAATACATGTCTGATCATCTGAAAGAGGTCTGCATTGTTTGCTCTCCATACAGTATTAAAAATGAGGATCTGAAGTGACAGATAATTGTGATTTCAGCTATGCCTGAAGTTAGACTCCAATGAATTTCTCAGTTACACAAGTCAGTACATTGATTTTCAATTTTAGTTTGGCAATTTAAATAAAGCTTCTGTTGTAATATACGGAGTACTAACCAGTGTTGCAGAGAAACATGAAAGAAGGGCAGTAGGAGGAAGACTCTGCCACTTGTTCCTTCTATGCTTGGCACCTCTTATAAGCCTTTGCTTTCAGAGTCTGAGTGTTGCGTGCTGATTGGAACCAGTAGAGTCAGAAGGAATGGAGCAGCTGTTCCTTCTACAGGAGCACTTAGGCATTCCCATGAAGTTGGAATCAGCTTTAAGACTTAAGCCTTTGGTAAATATGACCTGGGAAGATCAAGACCATGGTGTCTTAAGTCCTCCTGAAATGAAAAACCATAGAGAAACCTATAGCCTTACTGTAATACCTTATACCTGGCTTGGGCAGCAGATCTAAGCAGAAGGATATTCTGGGTTTTTTTGTAGCCTGTCCAGATTCTAACCTAGGGATTCACATTTACTGCCTGTCTCTGCTGCTAAATACTGTGAACATTGAATCCGAGGTTCCTGTCTTGCACTCCTTGTAGCCAGTTCATGGCCATCTGAAACATTCTCCAAGTGTTAGTCTCTTCTTGACTAGAATGAACTTAACACTTTTTTTTAAAGAGGATCTGGCATATTACCTAAATGTTGCCATTTTTGCTTATGGTGTTCCTAAACCGTCCTACAATAGCACTCTACAGAAGACTCATAAGTGAAGCTTTGCAGAGGTAGCTCAATGTAAGAAATTACTAGGATTTTGGAAGCCCAAGAACAGTTGCTAATAACACTACTTAAAATATGCTTTAGGAATATTAAAGAATTTCCCAGCTGGCATGGCTCAGCTGTTGAGCATCAACCTGTGGTCCAGGAGATCTCGGTTTGATTCCTGGTTAGGGCACACTCCCAGGTTCTGGGCCCAATTCCCAGTAGGGGGTGTGAAGAAGGCAGCCAGTCAGTGACTCTCTCATCATTGATGGTTCTCTCTCTCCCTCTCCCTCCCTCTGAAATCAATAGACATTATTAAGTAGTATGTTCTTTCTGTATAAATTTTCATCTCTACCTCTATCCTAAATTAAGTTTCTGTGTATGAATGGACTACTCTTTTGTTCTGTGGTCTGTTTGTTAATTCTTGCTCCAGTACTCCAATTTATAATTATTGTAGCTTTAAAATACGCCCTTCTACTTTGTTCCTTGAAATTGACTTTGCTTTTCTTGGCACTTTGCTCTTCCATATTAATTTTAGAATTAGTTGCCAAGTTCCATGAAAAACCCTTTGAGATCTTGGTTGAAATTGCATTAAGTTTTTAGAGTAACTTGAGAAATACCATATAGTATATGGTGAATGTGATGACCTAATTTTCATGATCTTGATTCTAGCACCTTGCAGGACTCTAATAGTTTGTAGGTTCTCCTGAATTTTGCATGAGGTAAATAGGGCAGCTTTATTCCTTTCTTTCCAATTTTCATGGTTTCCTATCCTGTCTCATTGAAGTGGAAATCTCTCCCCTTTTTTTGTATTTCATATTTTCAGATTGTCTTTAGTTTAGGTACATGCAATTTATGATTTTTATTTTCATGAATGTGCCCTTTCATTATGCATTGTGTTTCTTTATACCTATCCATGCTTTTAAATTCTAATTGGTCTTTTATTAGCATTTTCTTGTTGCATACATTCTATTTTTTTTACTTCAGCCTCTTTTTTGTAGTATTATTCGAGTATCTGATGAACAACTGGTATTTTCTTTTACTTCAACAGATAGCCTTAGTCTTTTTTTTTAAATCCTCACCCGAGGATATTTTTTCCATTGCTTTTCAGAGAGAGTGGAAGGAACAGAGACATTGATGTGAGAGAAACACATTGATTGGTTGCCTCCCTCATGCGCTCTGGCCAAGGCCGGGGATCGAGCCTGCAACTGAGGTATATGCCGTTGACTGGAATCAAACCCAAGACCCTTCATTCTGCTGGCTGATGCTCTAACCACTGAGCAAAACTGGCTAGGGCAAACCTTAGTCCTTTAACATGTCATTTTACTCAAGCAGTAAGCTTGGCTTTGATCCCTCATTTTGCATTTTTAGGCCCCACTGCTTAAAGAGTCAAACTCCTGGTCATCATTGCCTACCAAAGCCTCGTAGGCTCATGAGTTCAGCCCTGCATGCTACATTTCTGTATTGTTTCTGGACTTGAGAGATTTTTTTCTTGTTATAGTTTATGCAGTCATGACATATTTATAGCAAAGTGTGTGTATCATAGCATGAACTTACTAAGCCAACTTGATAGGAAATCTTCAGTAGCCTTCCTAATCTCTACCTATTGCTGGCTTTCCTCCCTAGTACCTTACTACAGGAGCAGATGCTAAGGAAGCAGGCTGAGTTAGAGACGGCACAGTGCAGGCTCCGACTTCAAGTCCTAACTGAGGAATGCACTAAGCTTCATAATCGTGTCCAGGTAAGTTTGCCCTTTCTAATACAAATGATTTTGGGGATAGGAATTGAAAAAGAATCTAAATATTACTAAAGTTCGTCTCAGATACAAATAGGATTTATCAAAATTTTCAGCAAGTAAATATGACCAACTCTTTATTTCTGATTAGGGCATTTGTCCAAAACTTATGTGCTTTATGATTAATTCTACCACAATCTGAATTTTTAAAAAGATTAAACCAGGTAATTCAAAACTTAAGTCATTTTACCTTCCTGAATCTACCAATAAAATCAGGGTTTTAAACAAAAATGACTTTTAGCCCAGCTGGTGTGGCTTAGTGGTTGAGTGTTGACCTATGAATCAGGAGATCACGGTTCGATTCCTGGTCAGGGCACATACCTGAGTCGGGGGGGCCTGCGGGAGGCAGCCAATCAATCACAACTCTCTCATCATTGATGTTTCTATCTCTCTCCCTCTCCCTCCCTCTCTCTGAAATCAGTAAAAACATATTTTTTAAAAGTTTAAAAGATTTTTCAACCCTATTGTTTATGATTCTGTGCTCTCCTTATTTCATTTGCTTGTCGTAATACTGCAAAAAGTGCAGTAATTCTCTAGGATTTGTGTTAACATTTTCATATAACGAATAAGAAACCTCCTTGTATTAGATCAAGGAATTTTGCATGAGGGGAATAACAATCGAAAAAGCTACACATGGCCCTGGCCAGTTAGCTCGGTTGTTTAGAGCATCATCCCAACACTCCAAGGTTGTGGTTTCGATCCCCCATCAGGGCAAATACAAGAATCAGCCAATGAGTCCATAAATAAGAAGTAAGTGGAACAACAAATGGATGTCTGTTTGTCTCTGTCTCTCTCTCATCAGTAAAAATAATTAAAATTTTTTTAAAACAACAGTACTAAAAAGCTTCACGTTTATAAAATCTTTTTCATTTTAGGACTTGCAAAAACTTATTCTGCAACATCGGGATCAGCTCTTACTGTGTCCCAAGGGCTCCCAAGCACATTCGCTAAGCGGCTCTCCCTCCAGGCAGCCCCAGCACAAGTACTATTTCGAGAAGACCTTCACAGTGTCTCAGAGTGGAAACTGCCGAATTATGACCTACTGTGATGCCCTGAGCTGCCTGGTGGTGTCACAACCTTCTCCTCAGGCAACTTTCATTCCAGGTGAGCAGTCTAGAACCTCAGCTCTTTTTTTTTCCATTATTGGACTCTATTTCTTTCTCATCTACCTTTTTAAAAATCCAGGACTCATTAATGGGTGAACCATGTCTACAGCCCACCAAATCACCACTTTTTAGTCAGTTTCCTATTCATGCAGATACTTCAGGGTGCTGCAAAGATGTCTTTACTGTCTGTTGACTTCATTTTGTAAATTTATTCACCAAGAGGGCAGAAGTACTGAAAAACCATGATAAAGTAAGAGAAGATGAGGTACTTGGAAATGTGTGTTGCTGGTATAGTCCAAGAAGGACTGTATGTCCCACTGAAGTTACAGGCTCATTTTAGACTGGAAATATTTGAAAAAACACTACCCTAAAGGCTAATTCAAATTAAAACAAGAATTAATACTTACTTTCAGGCGTGTTCAAATTGGCAAATTCCAAATAAAAGAATTGTGGAATACATTTATTATTTTATTAATACTATGCCAATTAATATATTTTATTGATTTCATAGAGAGGAAAGGGGAGAGAGAGAGAGAGAGAGAGAGAGAGAGAGAGAGAGAGAAACACCAATGATGAGAGAAGAGTCATTGATTGGCTGCCTCCTGTGTGCCCCTGCTGGGGATCAAGCCCGCACCCCTGGCTTATGCCCTGACCAAGAATTGAACCGCGATTTCCTGCATCATAAATCGATGATCAACCACTGAGCCACACAGGCTGGGCACATTCTGTGCTTTTTAAACTTAATTTTACATTGTCTTAATGTTAAAAACCAAATCTCTTTACATGCTCAATTAAATCATTCCTAAATGTTGTAGATGTTTCTACTGTCTTCATCATATGATTTCTGCCAACTTACAGGTCCTTTTGCTCCAACATGATATCTTCTGGTTCCCTACTTCAAAGTTCCATCAAACACTTCAAAACTATGGCCCCAAACTTAAGTATATACAGGGTAGGGAGTAGACTTCCTACATTATCGTGTATTTTTCTATTCACTGATATTAGCTATGAGTTGAGAGGTTATCAGGAGGCTTTAATTGAGGGGAAAGTAAAAGGATTGTTTATAGTGCTCCTGTATCCCATCCAGATTTTTAATTAAAAGATGTATCTTCAATTAAAACCTTCCCCACAATTTGGAAAAATACTAATTGTTCTCCAAATTGGGAAATTGGGTATGATCAGTTCCCTTTTTTCTTGATGTATCTCTTCCACTCTGCACAGCTAGCTCTTCTTTTCTTTTTAGAAAAGCAAATGAGAATTCATTAATCACAGTAAAAATATACTTAGGACAGTGAAACAAGGAAAGGCATAGACAAAACACCAGGAGAGCCTAAGCTGAGCTGCTTTGGCTCACTGGGAAGTCAGAGAAAAGAGGCCTCGGAGACAGGTTCTTCAGGAGATTGGCCTGCTCCCCTGGTTGCAAGTTTCATGTGGTTCCTTAGAGGTTAGGAGATATGTGCCTGTGGGGGGAAGGAGAGGAAGAAGAGAATGGCAGGAGGTTTTTCCCTGGAGGGAGAGCGCCCAGCTAGCTCTTCTTGATAGCCTGCTGGTTCTAACTTCTTGTTTCCCTCGATGATTAACTAGGCATGTATTCAAGTTCCCTTGCTGATTTAAAGCCTATAATTTCCCTCTTTGTCTCTCTGGCTCTCCTAATTCTGTTTTAGGAGAAAACAATAAAATTTCTCCCACTTGGTTCCCTAGAGAAGCCAAAGTGTGATTCAAGGATATTTTGAATCTAGAATTTGACAAATTCTGTTAATGTATAACTCAAAGAGTAATAGATATTTAGTGGGCCTCCCCTCTTCTTCCATCCTGACAGGTAACCTTTGCCTTTCTGGTAAGCTCCAGGGGCCTTTCTTCTGCCTCTGTAATTTGTAACTTGTTTCCTGGGCGTATGCAGTCCCAGCTGGCTCACTCCTACTACATCGGTAACTTTCTAAATAAACTTTCTCTTATAATTTGGGGGGGGGGAGAGCCCTAGTAAAAATAGATATCATAGCCTAGAAAGAGAACAGTAACAAATAAATTAAAAAGGACAAGTTTTTGGTTTTCTTTTCCACTCCTAGAATGATATACATTAATTGGGATACTTGAAATTTCATTTATTTTCATTCTATTTCAGACAAATGTAGCCTATTGTGACCACCTGATGCAGAAATTACTTATCTCCATTCTTTTTCTTTTTTATTTATTTAAATTTTATTTTTCAGTTACAGTTTACATTTAGTATTATTTTGTATTAGTTTCAGGTGTACTGTGTAATGGTTAGACATACATTTTACAAGGTGTTACCTCCGATGTTTCCAGTACCCACCTGGCCCCATACAGAGTTATTACGATATTATGACTATATTCCCCATGCTGTACTTCACATCCCCATGACTGTTTTGTAACTACCAATTTGCACTTCTTAATCCTGTCACCTTTTTTACCCAGTCCCCTAACCCCCCTCCCCTCTGGTAACCCATCAGTCTGTTCTCTGTATCTATGAGTCTGTTTTCAATTTTGTTTCTTCATTTATTTTCTTTAGATTCCACATATAAGTGAACTCATATAGTGTTTGTCTTTCTCTGACTGACTTAGTTAACGTAGCATAATACCTTCTAGGTCCATCCATGCTGTTGTAAATGGTAAGATTTTATTCTGTTTTATGACCAAGTAGTAATCCATTGTATATATGTACCACCACTTTTTTATCTGCTTGTCTATTGATGGGCACTTGGGTTGCTTCCATATCTTGGCTATTATAAATAATGCTGCAGTGAACATTTTAGGTGCATGTATTTTTTCAAATTGGTGTTTTCAGCTTCTTCAAATATATACCCAGAAGTGGAATCCCTGAGTCATAAGGCAATTTCATTTTTAATTTTTTTTATATATATCTTTGTTGATTTCAGAGAGAGGAAAGGAGAGAGAGAGAGAGATAGAAACATCAATGATGAGAGAGTGGTCATTGATTGGGTGCCTCCTGCAGGCCCTCGATGGGATCAAGCCTGCAACCCGGGCATGTGCCCTGACTGGGAATTGAACCGCGATCTTCTGGATTCTAGGTCAATGCTCAACCACTGAGCCATGCCCGGCCGGGCTCATTTTTAATTTTTTGAGGATACTCCATACTGTTTTCCATAGTGGCTGCACCAATCTGCACTCCCACCAATAGTGCACGAAGGTTCCCTTTTCTCCACATCCTTGCCAACACTGTTGTTTGTTGATTTATTAATATCTCCTTGTAGTTTTAATTTGCATTTCTCTTATGATTAGTGACATTGAGCATCTATTGGCCATCTGTATTTTTTGGGGGAGAAGTATCCATTCAGGTCTTCTGCCTTCCCCCCCCTTTTTAAATTTATCTTTATTTTTGAAAGTATCACAGATGTCCCCTTTTTTCCCTCCAGTGATCCCCTCCAGCCTGCATCTGTCCCGTCCCTTTCCCACACTATTGTCTGTGTCCATGGGTTATGCATATAAGTTCTTTGATTAATCTCTCCCCACCCACTCCCCCACCCCTGCCTTCCCTCTGAGATCCATCAGTCTGTTCCATGCTTCTGTGTCTGGACCTATTTTGTTCATCAGTTTATTTTGTTCATTATATTCCACATATGAGTGAGATCATGTGATACTTGTCTTTCTCTGACTGTCTTATTTCATTTGTCATAATACTCTCCTGGATTGTTTATTGTTATGGTGTTGAGTTGTATGAGTTCTTTATACATTTTGGATATTAACCCCTTATCAGATGTATCTTTGGCTAATATGTTCTCTTACGGGGTAGGTTGTCATTTTTATTGATGGTTTCCTTTGTTGTGCAAAAACTTTTTAGTTTGATGTAGTCCTATTTGTTTATTTTTTGCTTTTGTTTCCCTTGCCGGAGGACTTGTCTCCATTCTTTATTGTTTACTGTCTCTTCTGCATCTTGAGTGTTTGTGTTTCAGGTGGAATAGGCCCTCGTGCGGTGCAGATGCATGTGCATGGGCTCTCTCTCAACAGCTTTATTAAAGTATAATTGATAAACAATAAACTATACATACTTAAAGTATACTATTTGATGAGTTTTTTTGTTGTTTTGTTTTTAATCCTCACCCTAGGATATTTTTCCATTGCTTTTCAGAGAGAGTAGAAGGGGGAGAGAGAGAAATATCAATGTGAGAGAGACACATCAATTGGTTGACCCCTACATGCACCCCGACTGGGTCTAGGGATAGAGCCTGTAACCAAGGCACATGCCCTTGGTGGGAATTGAACCTGGGACCCTTCAGTCCGTGGGCCAGTGCTCTAACCATTGATCCAAACTGGCTAGGGCTTGATGAGTTTCGATATATGTATACACCCTGAAACCATCACCACAATCAAAACAGTTAACATATCTGTCACCCCAGAAGTTTTTCATGCTTTTCCCTAATCCATCTTCTACCTGTCCTTTTCTCTTTACATTCCCAGGCAACCACCAATCGACTTTCCGTCACTATAGATTAGTGTACATGTTCTAGAATTTTACATAAATAGAATCATAAATATTATTACTCTTTATTTTTTTTGGTCTGACTTCATTCAGCATAAGTTTTTTGAAATTCATTCATATTATTGTGTATATTAGTTTATTCCTTGTTACTGCTAGGTAATATTCCATTGTGTGTATCCAGTGGTTTATCATTTGCCTGTTGGTGGATATTTGAAATGGAATATACTTTTTATAATAAATTATAACCCCAGGGAATTTTTATTTTCTTTGTTTGACTAGCTTTTCCTCAGGAACTTACATGTCAAGAAAGGTGGACAAAGAAGCTACTTGGAAAGATAGTTTGCTTTGCCCTACGTTGACTATCAGTGACATATCTTACTCTCTCTTTGACAGGCTTTGGTGTTAAGATGTTCAGTACTGCCAATATGAAAAGCAGTCAGTACATCCCCATACATAGCAAACAGATCCGAGGACTGGCTTTCAGCAGTCGGTCCAAAGGCTTGCTTCTCTCTGCTTCCCTAGACAACACAGTTAAACTGACCAGGTGAGTGCTTTGGGGAAGAAGATGGGGCCTGGGCTGTTTAATGTTGAATAGCATGGAAATTAATATTTGTGTTATGATGGCCTTAGCTTAGGGTTTTTGGTTTTTGTTTTGGTCTAAGGCATTGTCTTCTAAGATCGAAGTTTATTGAATTCAAAATGTATTGCTTTTAAAAGTGGACACAGCAGGTTACAAAACAGTACGTGTAGTGTCCCATTTCTTTAAAATTCTATGTTACAAAATACATCTTAAGCCGTGCAGATAACAGTAACATCCTTGAGATGATGAAGTGACAATATGGAGGCAGCCTTGGTACCTGACACCATGGAGTCACCATACCAGCTTAAGACTGCTTATTCCTGGTCTATTACCTGGTTCATTCTGCCTAATAGAAATACTGGGAGCTCACTCTCCTTGGGTGCCATGATGACTTCTCTCATTGGTAACCCCTACTTACTGCATTTTATCTTTTACATGCTTTGTGAGTGCCATGAACCAAATCTGAGAGTGATCTGTGCCTTTATCTTTTAGAAATTAGTTTTGATTAAATATCTAATAGTTGGCTTCCTGTTTAATTTCTGCACCTAAATGTGAGGAACATCGTGATGGCATTTGTAAACTTTTTGACTTTTCAAGAATGCTTCAGGTTAATTTTGCCCCAAAACTCAATGTGCTGTTATGGTTTATATGTATGTATATGCTGTGATTGTTTTTCTAGTAGTGTTATTAATGACTACCTCTGGATGGTTGGATTATAATATATCTTTATTTTTATTTTTAACGTGGAATATGATCACCTGTGTAATAGGTAACTATGGAGAAGGTAATAGAAGTAGGGTGGGAATTTACTTTGTCTGTGTCCCTTTAGTTTACTCTTACTTCGTTACAGCTCAAGAGGAAAACGTGTCCTCCCAAAAAATATTTTGGAATTAAAAGGAGCTATCAGGGCAATCCTTAGAGGAAATTGGGAATCCAAATAGTTTGGCCCCGGCCAGGCATGGCTCAGCAGTTGAGCATCGACCTAGGATCTAGGCGATTGGGGTTCGATTCCCGGTCAGGGCACATGCCCGGGTTGTGGGCTTGATCAATGACTCTCTCATCATTGATGTTTCTATCTCTCTCTTCCTCTCTTTTCCTCTCTGAAATCAATAAAGATATATTTAAAAAAAAAAAAAAAGTTTGGGTGTGTGGGTGTATTCTTAAATGACCAGCATTGAAGTGATAATCTTTATATCTTTGTTATATTTTTTATTTTTTTAATGCATAGTTGTAAAAGTCTCTCATAACTTTACAGCCTGGAGACAAATACGGTGGTCCAGACTTACAATGCTGGACGTGCTGTCTGGAGCTGCTGCTGGTGTCTTGATGAAAACAATTACATGTATGCTGGACTGGTCAATGGTTCAGTTCTGGTATATGACCTTCGAAACACAAGTTGTTATGTCCAGGAATTAGTACCTCAAAAAGCCAGGTAGGGAACCACTTACTTTTTTTCTGTAGGTAGCATCTTTCTCTTGGACAGTTATTGTATTAATCCTCTCTTTCCAAGAGTGTTTCACAGTTGATCAGAATTCCTCACAGAAGGCAGTTCTCTCTGAGTCCACTGATCTGTTCTCATTTAAGAATCAGTAAGATCTTTAGAGTTTATGTTCATGATATTTCACATGGTAGAAAACTCTGGTACCAAGTATAACCAGGTTCATGGAATTACTCATCATCCAACATGGCAAAATGAAGTCAGATCTATGGTTAGCACCCAGCTCCACTACGTATGAGTTATGTGATCTTGGCCTGTTGTGATCTTCATCTGTAAAATATGGTTAGCACACACTTGCTTTTATAGCCACATGTTTAACACTCAGGAAGAAAACAGTAAAAGGTAGCCCAATAAAAGTGACTTAAAATTTCCCTAATGCACAGCTTAATCAGCTTGGTCTAAGGATACCATATTACTAGGACTTATCATTTATAACCCAGTTTTAGAGTTGGGAGGTTTGTGAATTCAGCTCAAGTTCTGAAGGTGGGTGGGCACCAGCACTACTGTGTCTTTTCAGTACCATTTGGGCATAATACTCTCCTGGAGGCATAAAGTTCTCAAAAGGAGAGGGATTTGTGACCTGGGCCAAAGTGAGAAGTGTCTTAAGAGAGAATTTCCATTTCCAATTTGAATATATATTAAAAGAGGGGCAGCAGGATCTAAATATAAAGATAGCACTACAGTAATAATTATTTACTGAAACCTACGTTCAGTAGTTTGGGGTTTTCATTTGGATGGGGTAGAATCATGCTTCAGTGATATGGTCTGTGGGCCTGAAGGTGATTAATGTATACTTACACTAATGTAAACCCCAAGCAAACAAGGTTACTGCCATTGATGTAGAGGAACCCACACAGAGTAGACAGTAAAATACAGCAAATAGCATGGAAAGAATATTTGTATGTATTGTTTACTTTTGTTTTAGTTTGCTTTGGTTAGCTTCATTGTGCAGGGAAATGAAATGAGGCAGGCAAAGTGATCACTTTGGCAACTTTAGCAGAAACGAATTCATAGGAACGTAGTCTGTAGGCTAATATTTCTGAGAGAATTCTTGACATAGTCCTGGTTATATGCTTACAGAAAGAGATTTAGAAAATCTATAAAGAAATCTGTTTATGAATTGAAATTTGTTGCTTTAAGTTATATTTTAATTGAGGGGTCTGTCAACTACTGCTTGGAAGTGTTATTTTACTTAGATATATAAGCTGTGTGTTTTTTCTGACTTTTCTTATGTATGTGGCTAACTCTGTTTCCAGAAGCTCATACTAGTCAAGCTTTCTTAAAATTGTGATCTTGTACCATTTAATTTCTTAGTCCATTTTTTCCCCCATTGCTTTTAGAGCATGTAGCATCTCTTCTGAAATTGGATGTAGAATATTATATGGGTGGCCTTTTATTTCTACAGAGTGGGTTGGTAGTTTTTATCAGATGTCAGAGGATAGTGACTCACAGAAGATTTTTAACCTCTTCTATAGAAGTAGAAATGTGCTTGAGGAAGGGCTCCTGATAGTGAGGTCTGGAATAGTCCAAGTAATAGAATGTGAGGCATGGTTTCCTTTCTTCCTCTTCAGATGCCCATTGGTATCCCTGTCATACATACCCAGAGCTGCTTCGGCTGTATTTCCATATGGTGGAGTGTTGGCTGGAACCTTGGAGAATGCTTCCTTCTGGGAGCTAAAAATGGGCTCTTCTCATCGGCCTCACATGCTGCCCATAGAGCCAGGAGGCTGCATAGACTTTCAGACAGAGAGCAGCACCCGACACTGTCTTGTGACCTACAGGCCTGGTAAGTGTTGGGATGCCCTTATGGGACTTTCTGTGATTTGTTTGGGAGCACATATGTGGAGGAGAGGAAAGGAAAGTTTTCCCTACTCTTCAGTAGTACTGGTAAGCCCCTGACAGACTGACAGCTCTTACTACTACAGTGAGAATGCTGGCTTCAAGTTTTTGCATGGAGCCTGCCTTCCTGTCCTGTCCCTCACTTGTGTGAATTAGGACAGATTCTGCCAGGTACTCCCTGGAAGTAAATCAGCCACTTTTGGAACCCCTAAGACTTAAAACAGTAATGAGATGAGGAGGCATGCTTTTGATGCCATTGAGCCACACTCAGATCACTTTTATGTCTTCTGCCTGCCCCTCACTTAAGAGAAAGGCCCAGGCGAAGGCATTGTAGGGCCCAGACTAGGACATTAGCTGTTCCTTCTTATTTGGGGGCAACAAAGTTAATTGGAGAGTAGATGGACAACCATTGTTTTGTGGACTTAGCTAACTGAACTTCTCACTGCCTCCAGAACCAGAGTGAAACCCCTGACAAGCAACTATGCTTAAATTCATACTTTTTTTCTAGCCTGAAAGGTATGAATCCAAATTTTGATGAGCTATACTGATAGCCAAGACAGATGTTTCATCAGAGATAGTCATTAAAGTGCCATGCTTTTGCTAATTATGGCTATATGTAATCATTTAAATTTTTGCTTGAGCTAAGGAGTTGCTTCAGTAGTGTTCTGACCCTTTCTGTTCTTAATCATCTCATAGGCCCTCTGTCTCCAACACTGAGCAATGTGGCATGTGTAGAAAACTTGGGGGTTCTATTTTTTTCCCTAGCTTCCGTTTTCCTCCCAGCAAAGCACAGATAAATGTTTTCCCTTCTATAATAGCATACTTTCATTTTATAAAACAGTATAGTTCTGAGGCTGATCAGGTCCTCAGTGGGGGAAGGGGGAAAATTGTAGTCAGACTGTTAAGGAAAATAAAAACCTAAGCAGAGGTCTGCAGGATACTTAGCTATCTTGGCTATCTTTCCATTTCAGTGATTTTACTGAAAAGGAAAGCCCATTCTCAATTTGTTTCCCTCATAGGCAAAACCTATTGTAGATAACCTGCTTCATCCTAGGCTATGTTTCTGAATTTCATTTGTGCTGTATTATTTTCTTGTTTTTATATTTGCTTTGTAGCTATTCTTGATGGTTTAATAAATTGTGGCTTTTCCATGCAACTGGGTTGTAAGTGTCTGAGGTATTTGGTTGATTTCTTTGGACTATCTCCATGAACCAACACATTTCTCTGTCCCATAGATAAAAACCACAACACCTTACGAAGTGTGCTGATGGAGATGTCCTACACACTGGATGACGCTGGAGAGCCACTCTGCTCCTGCCATCCTGTACAGACATTTCTTGGGGGGCGCACTTGCAAACTACTCACTAAAAGTGCTGTTTTCCAAAGCCCAGAGAAGAATGGCAGTATCCTGGTGTGTACTGGGGATGAAGCATCATATTCTGCCCTGGTGAGCCTATTATATTTTTATAAAGAAATGTATAAAGTAAAAAGTCAAAGTTCTTCATGATTATACATAAGCATATGTGTGAGTATGTATGTTTGCTTAGTTTATTTTTTAATTATTATTTTTTTAATATCTTTATTGATTTCAGAGAGAGGAAGGGAGAAGGAGAGAGAAACATCAATGATGAGAGAGCCATCATTGATCGACTGCCTCCTGCACGCCCCCGAATGGAGATTGAGCCCGCAACCCAGGCACGTGCCCTGACTGGGACTCTAACCGTGATCTCCTGGACCCTAGATCAGTGTTCACCGCTGAGCCATGCTCAGCCAGGCTTATTATTATTTTTTTTAATGTCTTTATTGATTTCAGAGAGAGAGAGAAACATTAACGATGAGAGAGTCATTGATCGGCTGCCTCCTGCACTCCTCCCACTGGGGATCAAGCCGGCAACCCAGGCATGTGCCCTGACTGAGAATCAAACCGTGATCTCCTGGATCTTAGGTTGATGCTCAACTGCTGGGCCATGCCGGCCGGGGGCTTATTTTTTATATGAGTCACTCTTTACATACTGCTCTATGGTTTGCTCTTTTCCCATTTAACTTCCTATCTTGGTTATCTTTCCATTTCAGTATCTGTGGATTCATCTTACTCTTCTTACATAAGCTAAAGTGTTCCATGGGCCGTACTTTGAACTTTAAAAAAAAGCACTACTGAAACCCCTATAAAATAATGATTCAGGCATCAGCTTTATCAATTCTAAGTGAAACCAACAAATGAAAGGTTGGTGGGGAATTTCACAATGGAGGGGTCAGCCTGTTGCCATCTAAACATATAGATCAACCTTAGCATCACTGTAAGTGAGCTTACCAGATAATTTACCTCTTGATGAAGGGCAGTGTGAAGCACAGGGTGCCTTCTATGAGATGTTCTTGAACCTTAATCCAAGCCTTACCTAAGTATATAAGGGTAAAATGACATGAAATCAGCAAAGAAAAAATAGAATCGATAAAGCAGATGTAGTAAAAGCTTAATCAGCTGGGTAATAGGTCGCTCATTATACTGTTCTACTTTTTAATGCTTAATTTTTTTTTTCACAATAAAAAGTTTTTAAAAGAAAAAGAAATCACCCCAGGCTGTGTTGCTCAGTGATTGAGCATCGACTCATGAGCCAAAAGGTCAGTGGTTCGATTTCCGGTCAGGGCACATGCCCAGGATTTTGGGCTCTATCCCTAGTGGGGAGCATGCAGGAGGCAGCTGATAGATCTCATGGGTGTTTTTATCTCTCTGTTCCTCTCTCTTCCTTTCTCTCTAAAATCAATAAAAACATTTTAAAGAAAAAGAAAGCAGCAGTTAGAAGATGATAGGTTTCATGAGGCCAGGAACAGGGACTTTGTCATATTGTCCCTCCTATCCCTAGAAGACTGCCCAGCACATAGATTGAAGGGATGAATGTTAGCTAGTTAGGCTTGATTTTCAGATCTACTCACAGGTAAACTAATTGCCAGTTACAATCGGTGATCACACCTGGATCTTACCAGGTGTGCTGATTTTAGGCAACCTTGTGAGAGTTGGGGGCTTTGTTACCCAGGCAGCTCTGTCTCTGCATCTTTCAAAGAAAATGAGAAAGCAAGCAAATCCCCCAGCTGAAGTGAATGACTTTTTACCTTTTATCTTTGCTTGTCTTCTTTAGCTATGGGATGCTAGCAGTGGCTCCTTGCTGCAGGGTCTGCCGACTGATCAGCCTGTCTTGGACATCTGCCCATTTGAGGCGAACCATAGCAGCTACGTGGCTACTTTAACAGAGAAGATGGTTCAAATATATAAGTGGGAGTGACCATGGTCTTGAAATTTACAAGGAAGGCATGCTGCTGGTTAATGTTAAATGTTGTTTGCTAACAGGTAACAACCTTGAGTAAGATCCCTGCTTATTGTCTGGCCTAGAACTTTTGGGAACATGATTCCTTTGGATTAGTATGATTCTAAGACTCCAGGTCAGTGAAACACTACAGATTGTGTATTTGCTGTGTCCCATCAAAAGAGTAAGTGACTGGTACTATGTCTACATTATCCATTTCTTGGGTTAAAGGCCTTCAGGAATCTTTGTTGAAAATCTATACTTTCAATCAGACTGTTTACTGGACTCCAGAGAGTATCCTCCCAGCAGTCATTTAGGATATGATTGTACACCAACCATTTTCTTGACCTGCTTGAGTGGTCTTGCAACATGGGCTATTTGGTTTGGAAATGCTTTTGTCCCGGAAGGGACTAATCATTTGATGTTGCTTAGATGCAATGTGGATGCAGAAGTTTTCAGTTAAACACAAGAGGGCACTATAGAACCTTGTATAGGATTTTATCTATTTCTGACCCTGTGGGTTGACAACATTTTAGTAACTTGGTCTCATCCCCACAGAAGTGTGTGGTATAGCTCATCTGGTCTACTTTGTAGCAGACACAGTTATATTCCAGTTGTGCAGTGCTGTGATATTGGCAAGCCCTGTGATGGAGGCAGCGCGATGGGGTATTGACAACTTTCCTAATGCTGAGGGCATTAAGCTCATTGCGTTGTGAGAGGCAAGGAAAGAGACCAGTTGTTCGAGTAATGGGAAAGACATTTTTCTAGCCAGCCTAGGATCTCAGTAGTTTTATATAAGCCAATACTTTGAAGACTATTCCTTTTCCCTCTCATTAGGAAAAGATGAGCAAGCGATATATTAAAACTCTTGAATCCCCTAGTATATCAGGAGCAATGGGCTAACTTTGTAAAAGAGACTTACAAAAGAGAAGCTGCCCAGACTGCTGCTGAAGATGGGAGAAGGGCCTGTCGAGTTCCCATCAGAATAAAACCTCCCCTTGGGAGTGAGGGGCTGTTCTTCAATATGTTTAGAATTCCCATGTAAAGCTTTCCCCATGTGAAAATGATTTTTGATTCCAAATTTCTTTTTTCTTTCTAATATTTTAAAAAATATTTTTATTATTACTGATTTTTAGAAAGAGAGGAAGGGGGAGAGAGAGAGAAAAAACGTCTATGTGAGAGTGAAACATCGATCAGCTGCCTCCTGCAGGCCCCCCTACCTGGGGTTAAGCTGCAACTCGGCTTTGTGTCCTAACTGGAAATGGAACCTACAACCCTTTGATACACAGGACCACACCCAACCAACTGAGCCACACCGGCCAGGGCCCAAGGTTCTTTGATTTGCCTCCCTTCCTAACCTTTTCTAAAAGTGATAGGGAATATGGTTATTCTCAGGAAGACCTGTGGATTGCAGGAAGATGCCCATCAGCTTTTATTTTAACTCTGGATTGTCCAAATTTGGGCACTGCACTTTTCTTCAGTAGAGGGCTCAGGAGTGTGATTTTCTTAAATAGTTGTTGTAGAAATGCTATTATTTTTATTTTAAAACAGCTCTGACCTGTCAAATCCTGAGCCATTTCCAGCATTTCTCACCAGCATGGAGTTATTGCAGTAGATTTCCCCAGAGTTCCATGTTCTAGTTGTGCCTTCTAAAGAATGACCTCTTTCTATTTAAGGATATTTTTCAAAAAGCCAGTTTCCAGGGTCTGAGAAAGAACCCCTTTTTCTCAAAGGATATATTCCTTTTGATATGTTGATGATTTGATTGCCCAGGCTTAGAGCTTCAGGGGCAGATTGGGATTTGAATTAAAAAGCAGAACATATCTGGTTTCAGTAGATTATCACAGAGAGGGATGCAGGTGGTCAGACCATGTCTACCTTTTGTCTTGGGCAGGGTTAGGATTTGACTAGCCTTGAAGTACACTCAAGGGATGCTGATTGATTGGCCTAAGCATAGGGACCAGGGGACTTATTACTAGGGAAGTTGGGTGAATCTCACCTCTTGCCAATCCTTGTGTTCCTTCAGTAAATTTTATATTTTAGAAGCAAATTCATATGACTGTGACTGATTTCTCCAAAGGAAAAATCTTCACCTTTTGCCACCCTGTACCGCTGCACCTGGCAGGAGATTGCATTTGTAGACCCAGGCTCTGGTGTCCTGTACAGTACCAGGCTCTGCCATATTTCTTTATTCCTGTCTCTCAGGTTGTTTTTCCATTTGAGGGTTTGGAGTTAAGCAAACTTAAAACATCTTGTTGTATATATCCTTGTACCTGCTTTGAAAACAGGGCAATGGAATCTCTGTTAATGTGTTTTAATGTTTGTGTTTTATAGTTTAATATTAATATGAAAATAAAGAATTTGCTGTGTGTAATAGTTCCTGGTGTCTTTTGTCTCTTTGACTGCCAGAGGCAGGAACATGTCTGCCTCTTGGGAAAAGGTTATAACCCCAGCCTGGTAGATTTCTCCATTGCATGCAATACTAGGTCTGAGTTACAGTTACCCTGGATCTGAAGTCAACATTTAAATTGATGAGCTGGTTGAGGCTTTAGCTAGCAATTCTATTTTACCGTTGCTAATAGGAAGCTGTATGTTTGCCTCTTAAGAACCCCCCTTCACCAATCATTTGTTTATTTTGTGATCTAAGGGGCTAAATCCTGCAAACTGTATTTCCCAGGCTTCCTTTGTCTGCTAGCTTCCTGTTAGTTTCTTTGAATCCAAGAGACTAACGTGGGAGAATACAAGAAGAGGAAAGGACTTACAGCTCTCTTGATGGTGACAGCAGCATTGGGCAAGTGTGGGCTCCTCCGTTCTTGCTCAGCACAGTTCTGGCTGCTTGCCTCAGTTTCTTTGTTCTGTTTAGTTCAAGAATTTCTGTTGCCATAAATGATGGTGTTCAGGGATTAGATTGGAATGGCTGAAAATATTTTTCAGCTGACTAGCAAATAGAGTATACTAGATTCCAGGAGGACTGAATCCATAGGTAAAGTTTACTGTTGTCATGGAGCCTGGTGTTCCAACAGAAAATGACAGAGGTCCTAGGGTAGAAGTAAACCCCAAATTACAAAAAAAAAACAATAACATTCTCTTCCACTGTATTCTTTTTGTTTCCTATCTCAGTGATTGACTATAAGTGAAATTCTGAAAATAGGTGTTTGTGTGTCCTGTCCTTTGTCAACTTTTGTTCATTGGTAATACTCTCTGCTGTTTATCCCTTTATAGTTTACAAAGCCTGTTCCCAATATATTAATATTTAAGCAATGTTGTAAAATAAGTATTGTCATTCTAATTTACAGGGGAAGAAACAGGTTAAAATATTAAAGGAAAGTGGCACTTAGGTGGTATTTAACTTTACATGTCCTAGTCTTTCCATTTTATACTTTCATTACTGACAGCTAAGTAGGAGTTGGGAAACCTGGGTGAAAGCTCACTTTCACTTTTTCATATCTCTGTCTCCAGAATAGCCTGGGCTAATTTCCCATAACTATTTCTACATTTTTAATTTTTTAAAAAAATACATTTTTATTGATTTCAGAAAGGGGAGAGAGAGAAATATCAATGATGAGAACCATTGATCGGCTGCCTCCTGCATGCCCCCTACTGAGGATCAAGCCCACAACCCGGGCAGATGCCCTGACTGGGAATCGAACTGTGACCTCCAGGTTCATGGGTCGACGCTTAACCACTCAGCCACACTGGCCAGGCAACTTCTACATTTAAAATGAAAACAGCCTGGCTGGAATGGCTCAGTTGGTTGAACATTGTCCTGTGCACCCAGAGGCTGCCTGTTCAGTTCCCAGTAAGGGCACATACCCGGGTTGCAGGTTTAATCCCCAGTTGGGGCATGTACAGAAGACAACCAATCAATGTTTCTCTCTCAAACTGATGTTTCTCTCTGTCTCTCCCTCTCTGTCTCTCTCCCTTCCTTTCTCTAAGCATGTCCTCAATGAAGATTAAAAAAATTAAATAAATAAAATGAAAATGGAGCAGACAGTCATGCACATTATTGTGACTACACTTTTCCAAATGCCCTTGTTTGTCTTGAGTTTCTGGGTGCTGAGGCCAGGAACACCATTCTCCAATGGAAGAATCCATGACACATGCATGGGCTAGAACCACCTGTTGAGTGCTCATCACAGGTCAGGTGAAGAGGTGAAGAAAGAAGGTGATGGGACTGCTCTGGCTTGTACTGAGAGAGCCATGGAAACTATGGAGTAGCTTGCTCATCCAACTTGTGTGGAGAAATAAATCTGTGTGATATAAGAGGTGGCATACAGTGGTCGTGAAAATATGCCTCAGATCTCCAACTGTGGGGGTGTAATTGAGCAATGTCCCAGCTGCTGTGCTCTGAAATCCATTGTGTTCACACTCTCCACGGTTACTCCTAGGCAATAACTGAACGTGGCAGAGATAAAGCAAGCTCAGCCCGGCCTGCGTGGCTCAGTGGTTGAGCATCGACCCATGAACCAGGAGGTCAGGGTTCAATTCCCAGTCAGGGCACATGCCCAGGTTTTGGGCTTAATCCCCGGTAGGGGGAGGCAGCCAATCAATGACTTTTCATTGATGTTTCTATCTCCCTCTCTGGCTGAAATCAATTAAAAAAATTAATTTTTTTAAACAGGCTCATTCCTGGGAAACTTTCATCCTAATAAGTCTTCCATAGCTAATCCTATCTTGAGATTACTTCTTATAGAACCCAAAATAATCCAACAGGCAAATAGTGGAGTAGATAATGAAACCCAGACAGTCTAGGCTGTTTCTCCTAACTACAGTGCTATCTCCAAGGCAGAAAATACATAGGAAGTGCTCAGAAAATAATTGCTGAATAAATGAATATAAAAATAACATGTTCACAAGGGGTAAATTTTCCCAGGGAGGCTTCAAAATGTTGAGACTTTTGAGATAAGTATTAAAGGATAAATAACTTTAGGATGAAAGTGTTAGAACTTCATGGGTCAATGTTATTTTTTTTAATAAAGTGGGGTTTTTAAATATGTTTTTATTGGTTTACCTTTTTGGTGTTGAAATTTAGGAGTTCTTTACATATTTTGGATATTAACTTTATCAAATACATATTTTGAAAATATTTTCCCCCATTCTATGATTTGCATTTTCATTCTATCAATAGTGTCTTGCACAAAAGTTTAAATTTTGGTGAAGTCCAATTTATTTTTTTCTTTTGTTGCCTGTGTTTCTGTTGTCATCTCCAAGAAATCATTGCCAACCCAATGTCATGGCAATTTCCCCCTATATTTTCTTCTAAGTGTCTTAGAGTTTTAGTTCTCACTTTTAGGTCTTTGATCCTATTTCAGTTAATATTTGTTTATAATGTGAGTTAAGAGTCCAACTTCTTTTGCATGTGGGCATTGTTTTCCCGACACCATTTGTCAAAGAGACGATCCTTTCACTTAAATAGCCTTGGCACCCTTATAGAAAATCATTTGACTTTTGTTTTTATTTGTTTTTATTGATTTTAGAAAGAGGAAGAGAGAGAAACATCGATGTGAGAGAGAATCATCGATCGGTTGCCTCCCGAATGCACCCCAGCTAGGAATGGAACCAGCGACCTTTTGGTGCACAGGATGATGTTCAACCAACTGAGCCACACTGGCCAACGCCAGCAATGTTTTGTAGCGTTCAGTGTACAAGTCTTTTGCCTCCTAGGTTACATTTATTCCTAAATATTTTATTCTTTTTCATGTGATCGTACATGGAATTGTTTTCTTAATTTCCTTTCAGGTTATTCACTATAGTGTATAGAAATGCCTTCATACACTGGGTAAAATGTACTTGCTAGGAATCTGTATTTTGTCCAGCCTCAACCTTCACGTGATGGTATCCTCTGGTCCCTGGTGAGGGGCTCCTGACAGACATTTCCTCAATTTGGGAAGAGAGCCCATAGTAGGGCTAGTGGTTTCCACTGCCCACCTGGAGAGGGAGGGAAGAACAAGAGCCTCTTTATTTCACTTTTTAAAAAATGGATCCAATTGTTTTTTTTAAAAATTTGTATTGAGATAAATTAGCTGCAAGGACTGGCTGTTACCACTGAGCCGACCTCTGACTACTATGGAGGATCAGTTGTGCCAGGGCCGACTCCACTTCTGTCTGGGAGAATGCTGCCCCCACAGCTTTTGCCCTGATGCCTGACAATTCACTTCTTCCTCTTATGTCTCTGGTGCCTTTCAAGCTGCTGCCCCAGTGCTGGAGCTTAGAGGGAGTGAATCCGAGTAGGTTCACCCATGGGCTCTTTAAAAGGAATTGCCTGGGACTCCAGCAGCCCTCCTCCCTCAGCCTCAATTCCTGCTGGTTTTTACAGCCAGAAGTTGTGGGGACTTCTCTTCCTGGCACTGGAACCCTGGGCCTGGTGTGGGGCTGGGATCCCCCTTGCTCCTTAGGGGGGACCTCTGCAGCCAAGATATCCCTCCCGCATGCCCCATCTAGTCCACACCCTGGGTGTGTGCCCTGACCAGGAATTGAACCGGCAACCTCGTGGTACATGAGACAACCCTCAACCCACGAGCCACACCAGCCAAGCTAGTCACAGTTATTTTAAAGTCTCCATCTGATAAGTTTGATATCTGAACCATAGGGAGTTTGTTTTTATTGACTTTTTTCTTTTTGGTTTTACTTATTTAGTTCAGCTTTGTTTTTAGCATGCCTCATAATTTTTTACTCAATGCCGTACCACGCAGATTAAAAATTTTAGAAGCTCTGGATGATATCTTTCTCTAAAGTGTTGTTGTTTTTACTTTGTCTTTATCATTAAAAGTATTACAGATGTCCCCTCTACCCCACTCTTTTTTCACTTCAATTCAGCCACATAAACCGTCATGTTGAATATTTATTCCCATGTCAGGGTCTTGAACTTATTGTTAACCTCTGCTTCTGGAACACTTGCTATGGTCTACATTTTTTTGTCGTTCCCCCCCCCCC